TCCCGGAAATCTCGTTCCAAAAAAAAAAAAAAAAAAAAAAAAAAATGACGAGACACCTATTTTGTCGCGTCACGGATCAGAGGAAGAGGTCTTTTCGATTATCCAATCGGTTTTTTGTGATAACTGCGCGAAACCGTGAAATTTAAATGGTTTCGTTGTTTTCGGTTTTCAATTTTTAACGAAGTCCGCGGTAATCCGGTTCGAAACAACAAACGACGTGAATTGAATCGTTTTCCCTCTTAAACAATACACCCGTATACAATGGTATACACATAAATTTCAAATAAATTCGTGTGTCCTACCGCCCCTTCCGTTCATTCGATCTACAACAACAGTGGCGGATTTTCAATAATTTTCCGGTAGGGGTCTACGCGTATTAACTGCGTACAGCTATTGAGAAACGCTTTCAGACGACATTCAATCGAAATCAAATTACCGTCTGGGGCGACCGCGGCCCCCCTCTCCGATAAATCCACCGCAGTACAACGGTGGTGCACGCACCATCAGCGTTAACGGTGAAACGATAATTTATATTAAAACTCAACGTCCAACCCGTGAACGATAAAAGGCCGTAACTTGTGTCGGTCGGTGTACGACATGAAAATAATAATATCGAATCGTTTATCCGGGAAGAAAATCGGATAGACGGTCGTTTTGGCGGGAATTTCGTGGCCGCAGAACAGAATTCGGTGCATGTCAGTAATTATTATCAATCCTCGTTCCGTTTCACCTATCTGCGGGAGGAAATGCGATATTCGAATTTAGAAATTCCGATATCGTGCTGTGTTAGGTATTTTTTTTTTTTTTTTTTTTTTTTTTTTTTAATATACAGCAAATATTTTATAAACGTATTTTCAGTGAGCACGTGCCGTCTCGGTCCATCAAACGGGCAGTATAGTAAAATCGACTTTATGCGGAACTCGCTTATTTTTGTTTTTCGAATAAAATCGCCCGTTCAATACACCGTTTTGAAACAAAGACGAAATACCCGTCGGTTTTTAACGACCGCGATTTTTCGAAAAAGAAAAGCGTCGTCTCGTTCCCCGGAATAATGCGCTCTTTTAGCGTTTGTATAATAGGCGCTCCCGAGAGAAAAAAAAAACTCGGATATCGGAATTCGAAATCCGGATTTACGGCCGAGATAACGTGACGAGACGTTTTGCGGGTGGGTCATTCGGTAGTCCTTAAAAAATAAAAAAAAAAACAAAAATAATAAAACACCTTACTCGCGGGGTTCCCGGCCGTCCCGCGGGCCACGAAATCCGCCCGGGGAACCCGCCGCTCCGCCGAGCGACGGTAAAAAACGACGGGCGAGATTAAAAACCCGAACGGAAAGCGAAAACACATTAACCGCGTCTATATACCGAATAATAATGAAATAATTATTATTGTTGTGACGGCGCGACCCGCCACGTCGTCTTCCGAAAATATTATTATTATTATCGTTAGGTTAGGCGGGCGGCATCCTTATCTCGGCCCGAATTTATTACGACGGCGTCGTAACGCGACGGGCATAAATTGTTTTCGTTCGGTTTTTTTTTTCTTTTTTTCTTTTTTTTTTTTTTTTCTTCATTTTCTTCGTATTTATACGGAATAATATCTGATTTTCGGACGCCGCGATACGCTCGACCCCACGGCCCAATGATAAATGCCTTCGGGCGCGTACTCCGGGCAGGTAAAACCCGACGCCGCCGCCACCCGGTTGATTCATCGCCCGGTGCCGGCCGCGCGCGCGTGACGAACATGTAAAACGCACTGCACTTGCACCGGTGCCGCACCGGCGTTGTGTACCGCACTGTTTTCGCCGGTGGTCTCCGCCCACGCGACCACGTGGGTCCACGCGCCGTCCGTAGATAACGGATCGCTTTTTTCTACTAATTGTTCGGTGATTTATTACGACCGCCGCGATTATTGTTATTACAATACGTACAATTATATTAAAAAAATAATAAAAACAAACGGTCTCTCCGATCGCGGGGCGCGAGCGTCGAAAAACCGAGTACCCCCCGCACACGACGATTTTCGTTTTTTCTATTATTTAATACCGCCGAGTTATTCACGAAACGATTCGCGTCCGGTTTCGTATGATCTTGAGAGTTTTTTTTTTTAGTTTTCGGCTGAAATCGACAAAACGTCGAAGAACAGACGAAACCTAACCGGACTTTCGGGAAACACACTGTGGAGACTTCCGAGATGTTTTCACAAATACATTTGGTTTAAAATTAAACTGCACCACTTATCCCTGAATTATTGTCCTACGCATATTCCTGCCGGGTAAGAACAAAAATATTCTGATTACTTACAATCGAAGTGGTATCAAAATTAATTTATTTTTAACACAACCGACGTCCGAGTTTTTGAAATTGTATTAAAAACGTTTCAGTGACTCACGCGTTCCTCCTCCCACCCTGAAACTAGTGGGGACTGCCAATATTTCGTCCACAAGAACGACAATCCCTTTCGTCACTCCCTCCTCACTGAAACACTGTACAGCGTTGGTTTTTTTTTTTTTTTTTTTAAATTGTATAAATACGCAACTGAAAAGTATACTGCAATACGGTACACGCGAATTATCGCATTTTCGTAAACATTATCAATTTCACGGTTGTCGTCCGAACGCTATAAAATGACTAAACTCGTGTTTATAATAATATATAACGTGATATAATATTAATATATACAATTGCAGAACCGTCGTCCCTCTTAGCCGGGCGGATTAGCATAGGAAATACTGACGCATTGCGAATGCAGTTAACACGCGAAGAGCACTAATTATCAGCATTTTCTCCCGGTCGGTCGCAAAGAAAAGCAAGAGGGAGAGAAAAGTGTAAAAAAAAAAATCTCCCAAACTGTTTTTATCCGCGGCGGACAACGCGAATTCACCCCCTCGCGACGACACGTTTAACAGTCGGCCGGAAAAAAAAAGGGAGAGAGAGTAGAGTGGTCCGCATTTCATATAATATTAACCGTCGGCGCGTGTATGCAATATATATTTATATACGTATAATAATATGTTTAAAAAGACGAGGGGCGAGGAAAATATTATAATACCTTTAGTCTCGGTACTCGACGGATATGTAATGGATATTGCGTACACAGCTCTCCGCGCAAAAGCCGACGATTCTTGAGTGGACGCGCCTATACGTACCGTATTCAAGGGTTCGCGTACGAGCGATTCTCTCTGCATTTTCGGAACAATAAAATTTCTTCATCACGAAAATGTTCGAATAATCGTTCACGTTCAAAAACATATTCGGGCTATAGACGGATAAATAAATAATATTCATATATTCCCGTAATAATATCACGCTGTACGTACTGGACGGTGGTGTATAACTGAAGGGTCCGGTGGATAAATGTTAACTTAACAATTTTTTAAAATTGTTAAGCTAACATATTACAACACATTCGTCAATATTACAACATAAATTTATATTCGTAAATAATACATGCATCTTTGTTCTGGAATGTTTTCGTGCATCCGTCATTTGCCAAAAAGAGTAAACTATTGACATAATGTGTCAGTTTCGAAAAAGAAAAAAAAAATTTGTAATCAACAACTTCATCCACTGACCCTTTCAATTATTACCTGTGTGTGTGTGCGTGTTTATAAATGATTAAAACCTTATGAAGCATTTAATCTCGTTTATTATTATACGAAACGCCGACAAATATTAAACTCGGGATAGTTTTCATGATTTTCATTCGGGGATTTTCATGACTGGGCAAGTCAATGATATTTGTGAACTCAGTCAAGTTGAATATTTATTTTTTTTTTTTCAATTAAGTTGTTAGACATTACGAAATACATTAACTTAATTGAAAATTGAGTCAAACTTTATTTTATTAAAACACAATTCATAATTTAAGTGTTAGAAATTAAAATAAACGCAAATATGAATTATTACCGATGTATGCATTTTAAAACCTGTGGAGATTTAGCATTTATAGAACTCTATTAATGACATCACTTAAATTTCAATTTCAAGTGGGCAATGTATTATTCAACATCAATAATTTATTAGTTTACAACATAAATAACTCAAAGGAGTACAAAAAACCACCTATATTTTCTAATTATTATTTTTGTTTTCTAATAATATTATTTGATAATTTTCCACATTCCAGTTATTCTTAAATGTACGAACTTATAATATTTCAATTGAACAACGGTAATAAATAAAATATTTTTTCCGAATAGTATGCAAATTTAAAACTAACCTGCCGAAACTAACGTTGCACGGCTGCGAGCTCCATTTTTGTTTTTATGGCGAATATTTAGTCGCATGATTAGGCACCTATAGCCAAAGCGATTGTCGTCCGCGTTAAACAGTTTTCGCAGTCGAATCGCGGACGGTAGCACTTCCTCTTAAGAGGACGTCACAGTAGCATATTTTTGTGATTCTGTCTATGTGACGGACAACATGGCAAACATTTCTTTTCGTATTTTAAATAATAATATTCGGGTTATAATAGACTCGTAGAAACAAAATTCGTTTCAAAGGGGGATAATTTTTTTTTTTTTTTTTTCATTAAAATAAAATTTCACATTCTCATTCGAAAGCAACCCGTAACAACAACGAATCCGTTTCAATACGATTACCATCGCATATAGCAACCTTCTGGAAGAAACAACGCAAAGCGCATCGAAATCCCGGCGTTCTAAACGTAATATAGTATTGTTCTTACTGCATCGCACATTTATCGAAAATCTCTAATCCGTCAAGAACCTTGTTTTTTTTTTTTTTCTTTACGTTCTACGTTCGAATCACGTCGATTCGAGTACATCCGCGTATTGTTAACCGTGTGGCAAAACGTGTCCCGGGAAAATTATCACGCTCGACAATTCGTAGTTACAAATTAATACGCAATAATATTCAATCCACTGTTATTTTTTTCTTTGAATACATTCGAAGTAAAAAAATATTATACTAAAAAAAGTTAAAACGATTTTCGTGTTCGATAATACCACGACTATTACACGAAAATTATATTAGCTTTTTACCATCACCTGACCCAGCGCTATTAAAATGTTCCTCGGCGACACAATAGTCATAATAACATAATAGTCGAACTTTTTTTAGACAACGAGTGGGAGAAACGATATCGACGACGAGTGGGCCGTATGAAATATACGTATAACTACAAATATGGAAATCGAACAGTATCCATAGATTTTTTATTTTTTTTTTTTTTTTTTTACGATATTTTACGAATAGTATTTACTTAGTATCATTATCTCTCTCGTACAAGTCGGCGATTGTTAAAATTTTGTTAATCGCTTTGGACACGGTATTATATTGATACGCCGACGCCGGCCCGGTACGTAGAATATACAGAGTGATCGACAAAACGTGAGATATTCATTTTCTTGGAAAGTGTAAACTAAATAACTTTAATAACTTATTCTTAAACGGCACATTATTCTTTCGTTTTTTTTTTGCCACCCTTTTGTTAAGGGTGAAACTACTATTCTCAGTTTTGATTTTTCAAATAGCAACCAGTGTTAAAAAATGCACAAATAGGTGGAGTATTCGTTTAAATCTAATTCGGTGTTGACATTTTAAATTTTTTTGTCAACTTATTGTTGAGATTTTTCGATTTTAAGTTTCGATGAAGAAAGAGGAATGGAACAGTATTGGAATGTCTCGTTACGTCTTCAACGCAAACAAAGCAGCACTCCTCTTCTCCCGCCAAGTCTTAAAAGCAGAATATTTCATCGACGGGTCATAATGGAAATGAGAAATTTCAATATGAAAATTTGTGTTATAAACAGATCAAAAATCTTAATTATTTAGCCATTTTATTCCTTAAAAAAGGACATTAAAAAATAACCGAACTGTAATATTTTAAAATTATTTGTGTTTCTTGAATGATCCAAAAAATTAAATCCGAAAAAATTTACTATTTTCAGAGATAATGAATGCCTTACGTTATGTAAATCACCTGCATAATTTCACGAACTCGATGACTGCCCTTTATTATTATACATTTAGTGATTAATTCTAGAAAATTTAAGAAACAAAAAACCCCTCGAGAACGTTCTACATTACCGCAGATTTTTCGTTTACTCTCGGTTTCAGTCGTGAAATCAATTACCACTTTAAATTTTCAAATAGCAATCTATCACATTTTCTAAAATATGAAAAAATCTTCTTTAAACGAAATATAATCAAATTTGTCTGAGAAAAATGCCGGATCACGATAAAAGAATCTCCCTGATATATATAATATAGAATATTGTTTGTGAAAAAAAAATCGTTGAAATTTTGCACGCCACCTACTTCACGCTAAAGTTATACACGCGTTTATCGTAAATAATATACTCGCTCAATAAAAGCGCACTATAAAATAATATGGAAAATATTTAATATTTATTTAACATTTTTTTTTTTTTAAAGAGACCTATACATAATATAATACACTAAAATCGTGTAAAATTGATTATATCGCGAGAAACGCGTAATATTTTTTAAAAGGTCGTAAATATTTTGTTTTTTGGGAAACAACTTTTTTTTTTATAGACCTATACGTATTGATAATGCGCTTGAAAAAAATTGCATTTTCTATGAAATAGTAATAATTTATTATTTACGTTTATTGTAAGAAAAATAAAACACAATAGTACAAAGGCTCGGCAAGTTAACGTACAATAATAATTCGACTAAGTTACGTTTATTGTAAAAAAAAAAAAATAACTATTAAAAAATTAAAAGTTTATTTTGCAGATTAAACTATTAACTTTTACTTGAGTTTTTTTTTTTTTTAACTTGTTTTATACTTTGAACTACAAAAAATGTTAACTTATCTTGATGGTATTCAATTCGTTAGTCAAATATGTCCGTGAATGTAAAACAAAAAAAAAAAATTGAGTTAATATTAACTTTAAAAAAAAAAAAAAATGTATACAAGCTAAGTTAAAATTAAAAAGTTAATTTCTAGTCTTGCATAATATTATTACATTCACTGATCGCCGATCATTGATCGATATGATTAAATTACGATTAATAGGCTTTGTCCGAATCCGAATTTACTCTTTACAAAACTCGTCGGTATCGTTAATCCGATCAAATTACCTACGGATATGTATCGTAAAGAATCGGTTTAAAAATGCACGATCCGCGCTCGAACGACCAACAATGTGAAATATCTTTGGCCCAGTAATGGATAATATGACCGGAAATCGGGCTCGAAGAAAACCAAAACGGTGTACGTACCTGTACGGAATATGCAGATAACGTTTTGGAAAAAACATATTTTAGAGGCCGTCGAAAGAAAGTCTTCGGCAGACCGGACATGCGCGGAGAAACCTTGCGGTGTTGACGCAGAACTCTGCGATAGGGAAAAAACCTTTGGAAAGGCCGGACGTGCGGTGGATAGACGTAGTAAAACCCTAGGATTTTTTTCGAATGCTGAAGCAATAGTCGGAGGATTGGTCGTGAGATTACGGACTGATCTTGAAGGCCGAACGAACCCAAATAATAACGATAATAACAATAATATCAACGATGACCTTTGCGCAGTATTCAGGCACCCACACTGCGATACGAATCGCGGCGATATATACAAGGAGAAGAGAATTATACGTTAATGAAAACTCGAGACGGTATCGTTTCGTACACGAGAATTCGATCCGAGCCTGTAGCAATTATCACAGAAATCGCACACCTAGTAAAATCTTAATATCTGATATACTCGTTCACGCGTTGCGACGTCGTGGCAATGCATCACGGTGACGTCATTATTAAATTCTGAGTGAAGCAAAGAAGCTTGTATGGTTTTACAAAGATGTTTATTTATTTATTTATTTTTTGCTGTGGACAACTTTTCTACCTGTGATCTTGTTCCGATTTTTATGCTTAGCATCCTTTCTGAAGGGAAATCGATATGGGGAGGTACTTTAAGGAGGTAATTTAACGATTTCTCTGGATTTTTCTCGTCAAATGTGAAAAACCGAAAAAAAAAACTAAGAAAAACTGGAATATATTTGAGCAATATTACGATTTTTTTAGTCTCTGTGCATAACTTTTCTACCGGCAATTTCGGTCCAATTTATCATGATAGCAATTTTTCTAAAAAGAAATCCAACTGAGGAGTTTTAATTGTTTTACTAAAATAGAATCGTTTTTCGTTTTAAGCAATAGTTTATCGTTACTTATGGGTACACGTTAAAGCAACTCTAGTCGTCAAACAATTTTTACAGAAAAGTGCTCGGGGTTTCATAATATTTTTGCACAAAATCCAGCATTAATCAAAAAAATTCATTCTTCACAATAATATTTGACAAAAGATCGCGAAGCTTCCTGCGCTAAAAGTACTTAATTTTGTCAGTAAAATAAGTTACTTTTTATTTTTTTTAATATCTCATTAGTCATTTAGATGTTATAATTCCTTAATTTTAAATAATACTAAAAAAAAATATTACTACTTTATTTGAGTCATTTAAATATTAGGAACAAATGTTACCAAGGTTAGCCGTTATTATAGTTTACTAGTAACTACAGATTACTTGTTTTATTTCGTTACTGTATAACAATAAATAAAAAAGTAATAAAAAGTATTTTTAGATGGTTCATTTGCTAATTATCATAAAAAAATCATCTTTGTTAATGTTTTTTTTTTTTTTTATGGTCCTGTATTCCCCGAATTTTCAATCTGGCCATTCTACTTATAACAGTGGCTGCACTCGATCCCATTTTCATAGGACGTGGTAGTTTACTAATTTTCAAGAAACTGTATTAATACATATGTATAATAGAATTAAACTCAATCACATAAAACATTTTAACTCGAAAACCGGGATTCGGTTGAGGAATTTTAAAACGTCATCGGTAATTGTGCCACATGAGTCGTGAACGTCTTGGATGATTTTGAATATTCGATAATGCCAACGTTTCGTTTGGTACAGAACCGATTTCGTGTTTAAACATCAGAGTCAATTGGGCCTGTTATCAAATTTAAAGGTAAGAATATTTAATTTGTAATTTTTTTAGAGGAAAAACGCGAAATTTTTGCTAAAAAACGAACAGATGTCGATGTTCTTACCTTTAAGTAAGATAATAAACCAAATCACTCTAATATTAAACTGATAGCGCACAATCGGTTCTTTTGTACGAAAGTTGACATTTCTCATTTTCCATATTAACACAGTGTACACCGTACTTACTATTGCCAGTAATCCCTGGTACGGCCACTCATTTGTATTTTATTCGTTTAAAGCATAGTTTTGTATTTTTTCGATTTTAAACCGCTGTGTATCACTTTGTATCTTCACATCGCATTCCGGATCGCGATTTACTATACTATCTAAAAATGGTGGCCCGGGCAATTAAGATCTTTTTTTTGAGAAGAATTTAGGCGATTGACCTTTTGCACAAGCACTCCGCTTCGTTATCGTAATAAAATTACACACCGATTGATGTGCCGTTGATTATTTACGGAGTGGGGGGGCGCGGAAATATAGCTAATGCAATTTTATCGGGGAAGGCGATAAATCACGGGGGTCAATTTTCGCCGTTACGTTGTTATATCGATCAATAGGTTTTTATTATTATTACTATGTTTTCGTATTATTTTACTCGAAAACCGCGTCGATAGCGTCGCGTCCCATAATATACGCGGTCCGTGTACGCGCACATAACCGTACACGCTAACGAAGAACGATAAATCTCCGTTTTCGTTTCTCTCGAAAAACCGAGATTTATATTACGCTGGGACGTACGACGATCGGCTGATTTTCTTTTTTATTATTATTATTATTATTGTTTTTTTTTTTTAACGACCTTCGAAAGGATATTTCCGACGGTCCCGGGCGAAACCTTTCCGGGCGCGTTCGTTACACGTTACGCGTCGTATGTCACCGTGCGACCGGCATGGGTGCGCGCGCACGCGACCGGTTCCGGAAACGCGGCCGCCGCCAGACGCGAAACAACAAAACGTTTCATTGGCATCGTCGCGTTTTGAACGCGGACGGTAAAGCGTTCGAACGACGGCGGCGACCGGGGCGACGGTAATAATTACCGCGCGCGCGGTTGCGGCGGCGCGGCCGATGTCCCGGCGCCCGGCCGGGCCGCGTCCGCGTACAGACGGATCTGGACGCGTATGCCAGCGCGTGTCACGCGACGTTGCGACGTTACCGCGCGGGCAGGATTGGGATCCGCCGCCGCGCTAATGAACGCGATATCGGCGTCGTCGCGCGGCCGCCGCCGGGACGGTTGACGGCCGGCGGATACCGTGTACGGGACCGTTTCGTGACGGCGTCTCGGCGTTCGATGAACGGAGAAAAAAAAGGGAAAAAAAAAGTCGATTATCGCGCTGCGGGATATCGATTCCGGGGCCGAAATCGGCGGGAAAACGCGCGGAAAAAACTCGCGCGCACCGCGGGGTCACCCCGACGGTGCTCGCCGCCAGGGCCAAGTTGGAGGGGGNGGGGGGGGGGGGGGGAGCTGTCGGGTCCGGTACCCGAAACGCAACCGAGCCACCACTTCCCGACTCGAGGCCGTGTCGAGTAAACACGCTACAAGCATACAATCGCTACAATCGGCGTAACGTAGTGTTGGGTTCGACCGAAAAAAAAAAATATCGGGGCCGTTTTCACCTATACCGGCCGCCTCGCATGAGAAACTGCTCGGGAGAATGTCTAAAGCGATCCGGGTCTCATTGTGTACCGCCGAGTGTTCCGGGCTCCGTGTGAAATGATCGTATTAAATACGGGACGCGGAAAAAAGCAAAAGCAACACGGCGTTTGCGACGGTTATTTGATTGATTGATTTTTTTTTTTTTTTTCGTCGCAGTCATCGCAATACGCCCCCCCGGGAACGGGGTTTGCCGTTACGGGAAAAACAGAACCCCAGCACGAATCGCACTATAAAACCGAGAGTTTTGCCGTGATATTCTGCGCGGAATTTAAAATAAAAAAAAAAAAACATTTTAAGTACGTGCCACAACGCGATAACAATCGATTTGTTTTATGGGTTTTATGACGGCCATCATATTTTTACCTATATCGCAGTGTTGTATTATAATGCACGTACTCTCGTATCGATACGTTTATGGACCCGTTCGAAACGTATTATTATTTACTCTCGCTTTTATACGTTCGTCGCGCGTCGTGTTTTCCAACGTAAACAACAAATATACTCACTCAGTGGGGGAAAAAAACAAGTTAGGGAAGCGCACTTGGCGAGCGTGAAATGTTCCCGGGGTTTCTGAACCGTACAATGTTAAACGAATCTGACGATCGCATAGTATTTTAAAACAAACTAAATATCTTAATTTCTAAAGGGTCCGGTTGTCGATTAAAAACAAAAAAAAAATAGCCAATTCGGTAATTTCAAGTGAAGACATTTTCCACAACCTAACAATACATTGTGCTAAAGTTTAGGTATTTCAGGAATACTGGCATAGCTCGCATTATACAGGTACACATTGTACAATTACCATTAAAACTTTTGTGTTATACATTAAAACCGAATTCTGCAACGTTTTGTGCTGAATACCCGAGTGACGTTGTTTTTTGTCGTGAATATTCATTAAAGTTTAAATTTTAATTCACCCCAAAGTTATTGTGTCACGTCCATTGTTGTATACCTGTTCGCACAACGCTATACGTATTTTTAACGTGTAGATCAGGAAACTTATTGTTAATTGTATTTTCCTCTTTGAAAAATACAATTATGTGTTTATGTTGTAATAAGAAAAAAAAAAAAAAAACAAACAAACAAACACGACAAAGTATGCCACGTGTTTCGCTATACATTTTTAAATATTGCGCATATTTATATTCATAATTTATAACGAGTAAATCAAAATTCAAAATTAAATAAGCCAAACTTAGATCTCACCATGGGTAACCTAACCAAGCCACTGTAGTAAAATAAATGGGAAAAGTTAAAAAGGTGTATGATATAGGATAATTTCATTTAAATATACATACAAAACAACGATAAATCATCGTAATCAAAATACGATTTTGAGAAGCAGAATTATATTATGTAGAATTAGTTTTAAATTCTGAGTGGAACGAAAAAGCGTATGGTTTAACAAAGATGTTGAACAAATTTTCTACCAGAAGACTTCCTTGGATTTCTAAATGTAGCGACTTTTCTGAAAGGAAGTCGGTGTGGGGAGGTACTTTCGAAAGATAATTTTTACATTTTTCCAAGCGTTTCCCCGGCAAATATGAAAAACCGGGATAAGGCACGGGGAAATCCGGAAAACCGCGGGAAAAACGGGAAAATCGATAAAATATAAAACAAATAGTATTAAAGAAAATATATAGAGCGTATTTAATTATTTTACCATAATATTATACGTACATTGTTGACGAAGCATTACTGTTAACTGAACCGTGCTCAGAAACATGTTTTCGTTAACAATGATTCATTGTTGTTTACACGTATACATTCAATTGTCTATAATAGTGACTGCATTCGTCTCCAGACCTCCTAGAACGTCTTTTTATTTATTCTTTTATACGTAAAATTCAATATTCACTTTACGGCCAAACTAAAAAGTTAAACACACATAAATAATACATAAGTTATAAAAATATAAAACAATGAAATCGTACGCCTTATATATGAGTATTTGTTTCTTTTTTATTTTACGTTTATTTCCGGTTTTTCCCAATTATTTTTAAAACTAAACAATTAGTAACCAAAAAAAAAAAAAAAAACATGTGAACCATTTGTAGTAAGTACATTAATTTGGCGATAATTATGTGCCAAATTTTAATACTACAGTGTATTTAAATTATAAATTGGTATTATAATGAATTTTGTTGCTGATATTGTATCCGCTGTAGAGAGTTAGCGCACGGAAGAAAAGCCATCGCGTAACTTTTTTTCTAACCAGAGCACTAATTTCTCAAATAGTACCGTTCGCCAGCACTAATTCAGCACTAAATATTGGTATTGGAAAAATAATTGTTGTTCAATTCCCGTCACCTAACTTCACGAACATTAAAATAAGACTAATAACAATAACACTAATTATTAAATTATTATTTTTAATGTTTTTAAAAAAGGCTGTTGTATTTTTTTATTTTTTTCATTTGTATCTAAGGTAATCCAACGAATATTAACCGTTATACTCTCAATATTTGTTTGCAGTTTTTTTTTTTTGTTCGGTTCATAGAAAAAATGACGGGAATCTAAACATATTTTTTAACAGCCGGTTAAAATATCAGTATCTTTTAAGGAACGATGCGAATAATATTATCGCATTGTTTTAAGGTACTAACTGAGAAATAACAAGGTTTTCGAGAAAAACAAATATATATCTCATACAAATAATCTCGATAAAATGAACACAACTTCTTATTCGCTGTACTCAGAATCGAATATAACAAATTCACAAAATTTGGTTATGTGAATTTAAATTTCGTTCATATAGTTTATTTTAAAATATAAGACATATAAGACGAAATAAATAAAAGTAGTAGGGAATATTAATAAATTGCATATATAATTCTAAACGATAAATCGATAATCGATAATCGAAAATTACAACACCAGACTAAATTGAAACTAATAATATTATAGTATAGACGAAGTCTGATACCCTGCGTTTATTTAAATAATTTTGAATAAAGATTGTCATTTTGATATCAAAAGTAACTACTTTTGTTAATGGCCAGTTCACCTCCGAAAATAATCGCGAACAAAATAATAATGATTCAAAATTGAAGAGTCAATTGTTTTTTTTTATTGTCAGAAAAAAAAAAATTCGAAAAAAGTTAATACTTTCCAAGATATTGCTATGATCACATTATCTTCGTGAGACACTGTGGTGTATGTGAACAGCGCTTTTTATTTGTTTCGCCAATAAATAATGTACACTGCAGGTGTAATAAACGACATGAAACTTTCACACGAACGGTCAGACGGAAATGATATTAATTTCAATGTGTTCGTATTATTGTCGTTGGCGATATTTTCATTATTTCGGAATGCTCAAGAATACGATTCAATTTTGCCCGTCACGGTCTTATTGTAACTAATACGAGTTCTACGAATCTAGTAGTGTATTATACGAATGTAATAATATGTAATGTGTAAAGTCGTGAACCATCGGAAACCCAACTGGATTGTTTTAGAAAATGATTTTTTATCGTCTCGATATTATCTATGTACAGGGTGAGAATTTCATCACGGACCGACATTTTTCTCGGAGGATTTAAAGTGAATTTGATCTCTTGTTTTTTTTTTCAACAAAACAATTATTAAGCGTTATTATTTAAGTGGCTGGGCGAAAATAGCAAAATCGGGATATATATATATACATAAAATATGATTGCAGGATATAGAAATTCAGATTTGATTATTCGAAGTTGGCGACGCTGTATTAATAAAAAATTGTTTTTCAAGTTTCGTACGTTCCAGACTTTTACATTCTATGTTTGTACGGTTCGTGTTTCGATTAGCGTTAAACCCCCGATTCAAGAACCGTACTATCCGGGTTTGTAATCTCCAGATTTGTATACATTGATTGGCCATCTTCCCTCATTTCCATGACAGATTCAAAACAGATGATATTTTTCTAAACCTTGCGTGCGTCGTAACGGTCTTGGATCGGGGATGGTCGGGGAATGGTAAAAACCGCACGGTTTTTCGCTGGCCGGTTCGCGATAAAATAACCACGCCTGTATACATACGCATGGAAACGTTTCTATGTAAAAACAAACAGCGCGATCTCGCGGCCTCGATACTCCCGTCGATACCTCCAGACGAAACGAACACCGATTGAAATGACGCGCGATGACTACACGAAACGATACGTCAACGTGTTGTTTTTTTTTGTTTTTTTTTCCATTCGGTCGCGTATCATCCGGCTCTCCCGAAAACGTATACGGAATGTTAGGAAATTCCACGGTAAACGCGATGGCGCCGCGGTCTCGCGTGAGAGTGCTCGACAGTCCCGAGCGCGGGATTTCCGGGGAACCGAAATCCCCTTTGTAATTCTACTTTTGTCCCGGTTCCTCGGTCGACGTCATAACAGACGTGCGGCCGCGCGGCGTCCCGTTATGCAAACGAGCGGTTATTACAATTTCGCTTGGTACCGCACAAGCGCGGACGGATTAATTGCCGGGAACAAAGGGCCCCGGGAAAACATGTCGGTCGCGTTTTATATTGTTTTTTTTTTTTTTTTTTTTTTTTTTTNCGCTTTCCGTGCGCTAATTGTTCCGCTTTCCGTGCGCTAATTGTTCGTCCGCGTAACGCGTATAACGTTATTTATGATTATTGTGAATTCCCGACCCGTCGCCGCAACAAAAAAAAAAAAAACAAAAACCGTAACTTTTGTCGCGGCGAGACGCGAAATTCGAAACGTATCGATGCAGTTGTATAGGAAGCGGTTAGCGTTGTTCGTAAGCGGATTTATTTGGAACGAGCGGTACAATGAAATTGTCTGTACGGGGTGCATGTGTATCAGGAATGTTCCTTTCGAACGTTTCCAATTTCCCCGTGGAATTTCGTGCTCAAATTTAGTGTTTTCGCAGGAAAATGCCGGTTTTCAATATCCATGCGGATTCGTACAAGTAAATGACTTAGTTAAAATTTGTGTAAATGTCTTAAAGTCGATTTGAACTTTCAGCTCCCGACTCTGCCGTCTTTCAGTATTGTATTATTAATAAAAGTGTCGAGAACTTTCGTTCAGTTGCGTATGAATAATAGTGAACACGGAATCTTGAAACGGTAACAAGTCAGGTGGCAGAAAATTCGACTCTATTGACGGAACTCTGCTTCTCGTATGTTTTTATATTTTTTCTCTTCACACTCGATTTTCGGCGTTGAAAAAAATGGTCCTGATTACTTAAATTTTAAGTATATTTTATTCAAAAGATTTTCTTAGATTCCCGACGTGCGACAGTTTTTCTCAAAATTTCAAAAGGAAAAATAAATTAAACCAAATTAACGATACGTCGTTACGATAAGGGAATAGTGAAAAACGGCTTATACCGTAGTCTTATAAATTAATCGAGTCCCGCTGAAAATTGTTTTTTTTTTTTTTTTCAATTGCTTGTAGATTTAATGTCGGTATCAGTGGCTGTGATTCGCCGGAGTGTTGGGTTCGCAATTTACACCCGACCCGAGATTTTTGTGACCTTTGAGATCTCATATTCTATTGTTTTTCCGAATACACAAACACACAAACAATGGTATAGATTATAGATGATTTTTTTTTCTTTTGTGGTCGATACCTATCTAATTTTCCGAAAGCTCTGGCGATATTATTAACAAAGCGTTTTACACACAGTTTAACATTATTTTTTTTAATTTTAATTTTTCTTTTTGTGAGCAGAGACACGGACAGGACAAATGCATAGAATTTATTATTATTATTATTTTTTTTTCATTATTATTAAGAAAGTTATATTTTTTTACTGACATCTTCACATTGGCCCCTTAGTGATCAATGTTCAGTATAAAAACTAAATTTGTCTTCTTCTTGTTCTACTCCAACAACTTAGTTGTCTATTATATGCCCTGACTCCAGAGCATCTTTCTATCTGATTTTTGGCCTAACCAAGTGGTCGTTTCTTATTTATTTGTTCCGTAAAAACATTCTTCAATAAATCTTCAACCGTTCTCTTTAAACATATTCCAACCATTCGTACCATTTATTTCTTTAACAAGAGAGGATATTGAATTTGTCGTTTTACAAGTAATATATTTCAAAACTGTGCACATGTTCGTATGCTCTTATGTCATTGCTGTGTACCAGAAAAAATATGTTTCCCGATTCCATACAGCAAATTTTCTGTTGTCTTTTTTTTTGTCGTGAATCAAGTTTCTCACGCATAGATTATTATGGGTCAAAAATAACGCGTACAGTCGTGTATAAAATATTGCTTAATTTGCTCGATAGCAACTTCGATGTCAATAACATATTGTTAATGCTTTAACAATAACAATACTTATTTCCGTTTGATAAGTTTTCATTAATATACCTACGCATGTTGACGTCACCTCCCAATAGTAGTTTTATAGACTAAATTATTCTATATTCGAATGTTACGTCTTGCCAACTTTCCGCCTTCACAAATATGTACATATATAAATATATATGTCAATCCCTTCTCAAAAAAAAAAAAAAAGGTCATTATACATTTATAATACAAATTACAATCCTATGTCCGAAAAGGAAGTCGACCCGAAATTCACGGTAGGTGTGTATGTGGTACGTACCTTTTCTGCATCTCGGCCGTCAAGGACGGACTTTTAAAACGTCAAGCTTTTTTATAGAAACGGCGACGGTTCTACATCGTCGGGGTCGATGTATAAACGTGTGTGGTTAGAGTGTGGTGTTTAGAATTTCGGGGTAAAAGATTGTGTGCATGGAGAAAAAAAAAACATATTATTATTACACAATAGAAAAATCGTTCTTTTCAGACAGACGACGACGCCACCGCCACTGTTCGAAATACGATTGCTATTCGATTTAATAGTAATCCCCGGGACCCGCGAGGATGTGGTGGCGGATAAAAAAAAAAAAAAAAAAAATAATAACAAAACGACGAGAAAAACGAAATACGACAAATACATTTTTCCGCGTCGGATGAGAATTTTTTTTCGGGCGGGCGACGTCTTGGCGCGCGTCGTTGACACATATTGGAATGCAAATGGGGAGGGGGGGGGCAATTCCGATTCGTCACGAACGCGCCGCGGACCGATTTCGACATTTTTTTTTTTATTTTCTTCCCGACGGCGAGCGACCGACCGCAACGGAAATATCATGGCCCCGCAGACATTACAATTGTATTGCATACGAATAACGGATACCGAGCTTATCAGACGGGAATCGTTACGTTTAATTGGACTCCTATATACTGCGTTGAAATTATTTTAGCCTACGTGTTTCACTGCATGGGAGGGAGTCTTTGGATTTTGCATTATTATTGTAGTTTTTTTTTTTTTTTCAATTATATGTACACGGGAAATTATAATGTCGAGTTATTTATTTTTGGAAAATCTCCGTCGGAACAGACAAAACCGGGAAAGATACGCTTTTGTGCATATTGTCATAACGGGTGGAAAATTATGCATTGGCGAACGGGTGTTATTTAGTAGAAACGTCATTTTGCGTAATGATTTTTCGAACCGAACGGCAAAACGTGAATACGTGAATATTTTATAGCGTTGTAAACGGATGTTCTACGTACCGGGAATTTTCCGCGGATCATAAAACGACAAATGAGCGTTTTCGTAGAGAATTTCGTCTACGGACGGACGGACACATTACGGAAGTCATTCCGTTTGGTTTTACCGGTTCTGGACGAGCGAAAATATAAGGATTCCGATAAACGTGCGTTTTATTTATTGAGTTTCCGAAAAAATTACAGGCATATTTACAGGAAATTAATTTTTTAGTCGAATGCCGTTCATGCATAAACGTGAATCGAAAAAAATAAAACCAAACTAAAAAAAAAAAAACATCGCCGTGTGCGTCTTATCCGGTGTTCCGGTTCAGCGTTGACAATGATATTATTTCGATGTCTTTCCACGTGTCGGCGGTATTACAGAAATAACGCCGCGTCCCGTTATTCTGTTCTCTATACACACCGTGCGTGTACAGCGTTGTATGCGTCGCCCACCGTCGTAAATATTATTATAAAACATGTAAATATCCGTGTCACCCACTCACGTGCACGCGCGGCGCAAGTACGGCGTGAGTGCGGCGGCCGCGCGACGCAATAAGACGAGTGTTTGTCTAGAGGGTGCGCCGAGGACGTCCGACGCATTCGGTTTACGTGTCTTTAATGGAATATAACGGATTACGGCGAGATGGGTGGTGGAGGACGGAGTTTCCAGACGACTACTGTCTACACCGCGTCACGATTTCGGCGTTTGCTTAACCGCCTATGGTACACGAAACCGTTTCGGTTACCCGCGTTCGATTATTAATCGTTCGTTGCATTACCCGTACCCCGGCGAGCACCGGACGGAAACCCACTGCGACTACGCGGCACCGTGTCGGCCGCGGACGGAAATAAATCGCCGCGTTTATTTCCCCGATATATGAGCATTCCGAATATTAGTGAAAAACCGACGAGCATCTAAATGCCGTTTTTGTTTTGCGCGTCTGCGTGTTTCC